GTCTGGGGTGCCGATTCAGAAGATGACATTATAAATCGAAGTCAGCACCAAGTGTCAATGTCGTGTGCCCCAGCAAACTCTCAGGCATAAGTCTAATGCGAGTAATTTTAGAGAAATGGTAACGGCAAACTGCCGTTGGCGCCATTCTGGATCCATATCTTATAGGCACCAGGAACGGCTACTGTATTATTCTTCATGACTTTTTTCTGAAGCTGAGGTGGTGCGATAGCGCCGTTTTTCGTTTTTTCAGCAATCACCCTAAATGAGCTTCGAAACTGCGAGAAGACTGCCGTCGAATGTTGGAAGTGCGCTCTACGACTGTTTTCACATCACGATCAACAACACACATAGGCATCCCCTACATGAAAGCTAAAAAAACAGCAGCTATTTTCGCAGTTTCATCCAACGCGGAACATCGCGATGAATACAGCCACTTTCATTTGAATATATCGGTACTGTCGGCAAGTTCGCAGTTGGTACGCACATCCACAACGGACTTGCTGCACGTCACTTGAGTTACGGTACCTTGGCGGTAATACTGAAGTTAGCTTCTTAGGTGGGTGGAATCGTTTTTGAAGCCTATTATGCCATTCGAGATTTCATGCATTTAACAGCCAGTTTGCTGCATTGATACCCATTAGTGGAAACAAAGGCGTTGTTGGAATCAGAAGACCTTTCAAAAAATTTTGTTTTTTCATCAGGATCACTTTTTTTCAAAAAATTTTGTTTTTTTATCAGGATCACTTTTTCAGAATTTTCCTCGCTGCTTTACTCTTGCGGGAAATTTGGAGTCGTTCATAAAACCATTTCTCTGCCACCATAGCTTTTGCACGTCGTTCAGAAGTTCAAGTATGCTTTGAGAACACATATTTTCGTCAGTGAATGGGATATAGTCTATCCGCCGGCTACTAGTCTTACCTATGTATTACGCTATGCATTCCATCTAACGCAGGGATTCTGAGAAGAAATACTTTCAACGTCATGTTTGCTCGCGAGGAGAGGTGACTTGCTAAGGTTCTATTTGAAACTTAATATTTTTCGTTGAAAGATAGTCACGGCTCTAAACCACTTAATGGGCGTCCTTCGTTAAAATAGTTTGGTCCGCAATCTCGAAGGCTCTCCCACTTTCGCTCGTGAGTGGCGCTTTTGACGCTTTAGTCACCCCGCTAACCACAGTTCCAAGGCTATTTTCCGTAACAATTTCTGCACTTTACACCGTGTTTTTCGCTTTTTTTTCACTGTTAGATGGTATTACCATCAGACGCGAATAAACGACTAGTGAGTATGAGAGAGCAGGATATCGCTTTGTTCGCATAAAACGAGCAGGACGGAAATTCGTATCGTGAACCCCCCAAGTGTCCTTAATTAGGGTACCCTTCATGAAATTTTTTGCTTTTTTCTTGCTTGGAGAAACACTTAGCGACTAATTCGTAACCGAACCTCACCATCTACGACATGCGCAGGGTTTGTCTTTGATAATTCATCAGTGCTGACTCACCGCTAATCTTACGACCTCTCCCTACAGAATTATAACCACTAGAGCCCTTCGTCGATTATGAGACCTGTTTTCAAAGGGTATTGTCACATATCTACACCACCTCGGCGCTGAAAAGGCGGGCACTGCTGCAAGTAGAATTCCCTAGCCTCAGAACATCCACGATTCGCAACACCCAAAGCTCACCGCGATTTTTCGATGCGACATGAAATGCGGTAAAGAAAATGAGTACCGAAATCCAGTCTTATTGTATCCTCCAAATCCGGCACGTCATCATGATGTTGCCATGCGTAGGCGGATGCTGCCCATGTACGACCCTGTTCATATTGCTAAATCATTCAAAGCTCCGAATAATACAGCCACATTCAACTGCCAGCAGGTTACGAGCAGGTAAAGTTTGTAATGGTGCAGTAGGGTGGAGGCTTGGTGGTGAGCTGTGAAGCATAAGCGAGGAATCGCATACGTCGAATCGAGTCGTGGTGGTTCAGTGGTAAGGTTCGACGTTCGACGACTCGATTCGACGCATACGATTCCATCGCTTATGCGGTTCACAGACTCACCAGCAACCCTTCACCCTACTGCACCAAATTTACACTGTCATAAGTTGCCTTATTGAAATGCAGGTTAGCTTTTGCATATCTATCTTATGTAAATAACCTTACTGACTCACTCGATGCCCAGGCCTTCATTCGAAGTTCCGTGGTAAGTGGTGGACTTCCCTATTTAGCCGCTGACACTTCCAAATCAAGTACGCAGCCCCGCCTTTCGGAAGGATTCCGGGTATAACTATGCAGTTTCCCCTTTTTCGCTTTATACCAGAGTTTCTCGCTCTTCAGTATCTATCCGATATTGCTTATCAATAGTCCGTGCCTCGACAGTATCGTCCGTATGTCTTCCTTGCTATTGTTTTTAGCGCGGCATACATTTACATTCCTATCATTTCCATTCTCTGGACGAAAGGCGTGAGTAGAACCGAACATCATTTTGAATCTTCTGCAGCTCTAGGCGGCCTGTCCCACCAAGAAAGCTGTCCCTTTCAATTTCCTGGCTTATCCTCGCAATACCTTCAAACTCTTTGGAACTACCTGGAAATTCCTTGATTGGGCAGAGACGCTGGTAGTGTAGACTTCGTCCTTTGAAATATTAATAGGCTCGTTGCCCATGTAATAATTGTTGTTATATGCAGGTGTGTCGCCCACGTAAAACGACTCGATAGGAGCTGTAAGGTGCAGTGTGAAGTGATCAGCAGTGGAAATGTAAGGTTGCCTCACCTCCAGAAGCAGATGTTTGCTGCATGATGTGATGCTTCGGGACTGGTAGAGGAAGCTGATGACACATTTGCATAGGATCATCGTATGTATCCTGAAACTACTAGCTGGAAGCCAAGCAGCTATTATCCGAGTTACTGCGCTAACCTGATTCTGGTAGGTGTCAAAAGCTTGCTCTGAGAATCTCTCAATTTTCCCAAGGCTGTCTTCGTTCGCATAGGTTCTCCACGGCTTCTCTGCGTACATGCAGTAGGTGCTCTTGATGAAAGGGCGATCGTTCATGACGGTTGATGATACAGTCCTTGCTACTGATGGGCTTTTATAGCGTTGATTACGTGTTATGATCTTGAGCATAACAGTGACGATAAGCCTGTTTGAGGTACCATCTGAAATTTCATTTTTACTCGCTGCAAAATTTATATGACTCTGTGAATTCCTTTCTTTTCTCACACAATCTCTGAATCTTTATTGATTACGGGAGTTCTTTCTTTTTGTGCTAACAAGATTCTTAGGTGGAGCTCTCTATCGAGGGCCTGACATTTCAACCACAATTTCGATCACGAAAACCTAATTCAAAACTTGCTCGTGGCTTAATAAAATGTGTCTTGAAATTTTAGAGCCGCCTTTCTTCCTCTCGAGCGTAGGAGTGTTGCAAATACAACCGAAAACCCACGCAAGGTCGCCAACACCACGTCACCAGTGGAATAAGGCCGCCCTGACAATGAGTGGTATCGATCTAATCAGGAGCAGCTATGCGCTGAAAATGGCAAGAGTCGTCTGCAGGTGCAGAAACTTATTCATTCAGTCCTGATTCTACATCGAAACGTCAAGTCTCAATAAAGCACCTAGCAGTCTCGTCGGGACTCTTTGCCAGGAATTTTCTGAGAGACAACGTTTACAGTCACCTCCGAGAACGATTCTTTCTATGTGCGGGGTGAACGCGTCTGCAGCTGCAGCAACGTACCCCTTTCTCCGCTCAAAAGGGAAGGGGAACGGGGCTGTAGGGTAGTCGTACCCGAGTGCTGTTTCTGGATTCCTCCCTTGCAGCCACACGACTAACCAGAGCCAATCGAGCTACTCGCGCTACTAGAATGAGCTGAAGCATTGCCCTAAACCAGAGGGATGTACTGTGATCGATTGCGCTTCTCCTTCGGGGATCTTAAAAGGCCCCTGCCCAGTCCAGTACATGAAATCAACAGCTCTCCGGCGAGTTAAATGTCTATGTGGACCGCAACGGAGAAATTTATACACGTTTCGCGTCAGAAAAAAGAGTAAGGTAGGAACGACGATGAGCAAGGTCACTCAGGTGATGCTCCCTCGTTGCTAGCTCTCTAACCTGTCGTTTTGCTCATATGCATGCTCTCTCGGTGCTCCAGTCTGGTCTGTGGCTAGAAGTCATCACGACTTACTGCCTCCCAGCAGAATTTTCGACGATTTATCGCTGAATCTGCCTTCAAAGAAAGAGTACTCAACAAAGTGTTGCTCCTAGTGCTCAACAACACGTAAGTCAATTGCTACTCGTAGAAGTGCCTCAAGGTGCGTAAGGAGCTGAATCGGAAAACAACTAGCGGTCGGAAGAACAAGGCAGCGTCATGATTGAAGCGGCTGCGCGATTCTCCTCTCATCGACAATTCGCTAAGAACACGCAGGTGTCTTATAGGCTTGCCGTGGGAGCAGATTCTTCATCCGGTCCATTCATTGATCCTACATAAGCCACAGCTCCTTCAGACCGAGTTCATGTAGACATCAACAGTTCACTGCGTTTTTTAGACTGTAGCCTGAAATTTTAAAGCACTGGCATCGCAGAAAATTATCTGGTAGTTGGAGACATGGTCCAGTTGCAGCTACCTCCCAGCCGGAGTGATAGAAGGTCTGATTGTGAGTCCGTGGGTCGCTGCAGTAAGTCGCAATCGTTGCTGACATCCATTAGTGACAGCAGGTATTATTCCACTTTCACAATGGAGCTCTGGTGAGTGCGTTTTTGTTTTGTGTAGGAATTTCGGCTGAATTCTCATCAAAACATGACGGGCCGCTTTCATTTCCTAGTCTCGGAACACGTTCAGGCCATTGGAGACGATGATCACGTCGAAACGTAAGGCTGAAAGTATTGAATATAACAGTTCCACCTGGAAACCTTGAGCGGCAGATGAACTTTTTCGACTATAGCAGTTTTATGCTACGTTTCCACTCAAAATGAATCTGGTATCATTTCGCTAGCCATCATATCGTTCACATCATTGGCCGGCATATTTACAGCAGGTTGAAAGAAATTCTCCCCTCAAACGAATTGTTGCCGACATGAGTCATTTACTCAAGCGGCCTCTATAATGGGGTGTGACAGGACGCCCGGGTGTGGAGCGGTGCCAGCACACTTTCAACAAGTTGCTGAAGTGGGCAAACGGCAAAAGTTGGTGGAGACGAGTTGGCATCGCACTCACACCCACCATCCGCAGTGAACAAGACTGTATTCGCACAACTCTGCTCTCAATTTAAAAAGAAGATGCGACATTGTAAATGAAATTTATCTACCCTCTACCATATGAATACAGTTTGTAACATAGCAATCAGTCGGGAACGGCGTGCTTAGGGTGGAATGACCCCTCCTCCGGCTGCCTTGCTCTAACAATGGATCGAGCAGAGAGACGACTGCGGATAAGCAGAACAACCAGATGCGTGGAGAGTCACAGGTGATGACCGCCGATGGCGTCCCAAACTGATTGGATGTACTGATACCGACGTAGATACACTTGAAATCCTGCGATGTGGTATGTGGTAGCGTGGCTGCGCAGAGGACTAAACGTGGCGGTGGCTATGCTTGGGGTTATTTGCCATCTGAATTACAATGACGGTTCCTGCCTTTGTTCAGCACAGAACAAGATGGCATTCGTCCTACACGAAATATCCCACGGTAACTCGTTCTGTGTCAAGTTCTAATTCCCGCCTACTCCATCTCGCGGATAAGGAGTGTACAACAAGGGATCACTTGAAAGGTAAGTGCAGCACTGCATTCACAGTGAACTTCAGCAGAGTAAACTGCCTGTTCCACACAACATTGGGTTCCATTCGCAACAACGTTGTTAACACTCATGCATTCGATGCATTCTTACATTTAGAGGAAAGCTACACTCAGCTCATTAATGATAAAGACGGTCATTTGTGACAAACTTCCCAATTTTTGGAATTCGTGGTGTTGTGCACAATTTTCCTGTGCTTTGCTGTCACTTACGCACTCTCCAGATTCGGCTATCGAGGTCATGATTAACGGACAATACTTGGCCCAAACGGTATCAGTTACCAGAGTTGCCAACCTGAACGACATGGGCTGTTAGTTTTGTGAGAAATATAGTGCCTCCCGTAATCCGTCGCCTCAGGATTCACACCTCTTCCGAGCGTGAAACAGCAAAGCAACAGATATAAAATGAAATAAGTTCAGCAACAAAATGTATTCTTCTGGCCGTTACACATTCCCGGCATCTTACTTGTGCAGAGGACCCACAAAATCGTACCGTTTAGCCCGTCATCACATCTCACTAAGCATAATGTGCTGCGTGTGTGTCTATCTGTCTGGATGTTACAGAGATAAAAACGACACAGAATATTTATCCAAACCATTTTTTTCTTGAAACACTAGATCAATCCCGTACAACAAAAATTCGTGCCCTTTCGCGATCTCTCACTCAAGGGTTGCTTCTGAAAACACCAGAATCGCTCCACGTCACAGCTCGGTTTTCTGGAAAAGAAAAGGTAAGTTGGCATGCGAAAAGTAAGGAAAAGCAATAGACCTGCCATTGAGATCACTTTAGCTAACTTTGCACACGGATTACCTCGCTCATGAAACATTCGCTATAGCCATGGAAAAATATGGTTGGGAGGGAGGGGTGGGGGCAACGGAGCGCTTCTCCCCTCCTCCCTGGTAACCATCATTTCCATTGGCATGAATTTGATAGGGGAGCTTGTTACATTTGTTCCTCCCTCAGGTGCCAAAAATGCAGTTTTCAACTGGTCGCAGTAACGAAAAACGCAAATATTCTACACTCTGTCTTTTCCGGTGAAAACCAGTGCCTTGATATACTCACTAGACTCTAATAAATTGTAAACAAAGCGTTCGAGTATGACCCTCTACTTCGAAGGTGTTCGAACGAAACATCTTATAAAGATCTATATTTTTATGAAAGATTCCGCAAGATTTTATGAACCTAATCGCCGCTGTCCCGTTTTTCAAAGGAAAATCCGCATGGAAGCAAGAATGTGGACTCTGTCGCATTTCAATTCAAAAAATATGGGAGAGGGAAGGTGCTTTCGGCACCTGTAATCATCATTGGCTGCCATTTGCCTGAAAACACTTCGTGTCGATCGCATAAGTACTTGTTCCGGCTAATGGAACAGCACCGTTTCCCCAAGTGCTCCTCTTGTTGAAATTCTTAGCAACGAGGTGCCGATTAGAAAGGAAGGCCCACTTAAGTAAATGGTTCCACCCATCAGCGCGGAATTACAATTCTCAGGGTGTGTGAGGCAGCTGCTGTCAATTTACTCTATATAATAATGTCGTCAATTCGATGAATAAAAGTATAGTGGTGGTGCACCGTAGAGTAGCGCTTGGTTGCTTGAGTCCTTTCAATAACAGAAGAAAACCGAGTTTTTTTTATTTATTCCGAATAATGTCTTCACTGAGACACTGTAGCCATACTCAGGATGTTAGAACACTTCATTGGGCTGACGTTACGGCTAGTCACTTTCGTCAGAGCCTGGAAGTTAAGTATACTCTACTTCGCTGCGGACGGTTGGGCGTGTCAGGCAGTATGAGTGTGTCACGCGTCAAAGCCGTTCTCTGCCTTCTTGTTGAAGCGCGCATGCGACAAAAAGTGGTAGAAAACGAGTAATACGAACGATATGATACAGTCATATCACTTGCTCGCTTTAACAACTGGTGGAGAACGGGTTTGGCACCGCGCCAAACTCATCCCGCCTGACACGCCCAACCGTCCGCAGCGAACTGCACTATATCTACCCTCATACGTCATGCGAAACTCAAGAATAGTCCATCATATTTGAAATGATGTAGGAGAATAACACTCATCTTTCCAGGCTCTGACGAAGGCGACTAGCCGAAAGGTTAGTTAGGTAAAATTAACTTGGTTGTGGCTACAGTATTCCACTGAAGACAAGACCTCACACGATGCAGAGGTTTATGGACAGCTCCAAGGGTGGCTCGGAGAGCACTAAAAAGAGGTGTTTCTTAAAACAGGAGAGGATGTCGTTGTCACCGAAGCATTGCTTGGAATTGAAACCGCGTTGCTCTCCAATTCGATCATGTAGCTAGAAGTTCCTCCTATTTCATTCCTATATTCCTATTA